AGAGAGCAGGATCAGGAACAAGCAGAGGTCGGCAACGGAGTATACAGCAACACAGGAACAGGATACAGGACACAGGATACAAGACCAAACGGCAACTAACATACCTGTTCCTGCGTTTAAATAGCCCGCCTCCCGCTGTCATTGGTGCCAGGCGCGCGTCCGTGATCCCGAGTGCGCATGCGCGAACCCCGCCGCTGCCATGCGCGGCCAGGTCCTACCGCCCGCCGGGTAGAGAGAGTGGGTGTTCTGCGCATGCGCGCCGCCCGACGCGATGCCGCAGAACACCCGGATCCTGACATCCTGTTTCTGTCCTGCATCCTGTTTCTGAACTGCTGCTGACTTCTCCTGCTCTGATCCCGGCTCGCTCCTGACCATCCCTCTGTCTGACCCTCTGTACCACGCTGCTTGCTACCTGTTCTGATCCCTGGCTTGTGACCCTGACCAATCTCCGCTTGCTCCCCCTGTACCTACCTGCCCTATTGATATTGACCCGGCCTGCCTGATGACGCTTGCTTGTATGTACTGTTATCTGTGGGTGGTTTGGTTTGGTTTGTTTGCACTGTATTATGTTTTAGTATTGCACTGCGTTTATGTTTGTATTGTTAGTGTTAATAAATTATATTGTTTATAACATATCTGAGGTCTGCGTTTCCCTGCGTCAGTCACACATCTCTGGTCACACCTGGGAGCCCTGACACTCCTTCTGAAAAGCTAGAAAGTATTATTTGGTTGGTAATGTGGGCGTATACATTGCCTAAAATCATTAGGACCACAAGAGACCCCTTCAAGAGGAGAAAACAGCATTGGGGAATCCTTGAATTGCCAGTTACATGTCTGGAGATGACAGTACAGACCCCTCTGGATTTTAAATCTGGTTAATTACTGTGATATGCAGAAGCATAATGTAGATTAGTGAGCTTTTGCGTTTTACCCGCTTGAAAATGAGTCCCCTGAAGGAAACTCACATGGGCTCTCTCTCGCCACAAATCACCCAACACTCTCTACCCTTTTTCATGGATATTTAATCCCTTGACATTCCAGGAAAGTAATTTAGTAGGCAGTTTAGAAATCTTGAGTTGCGAGGCTGTGTGAGAGGGAGACCTCATATAAAAGGGGGGGGGGGGGGATAATAGAGGAGCAAAAGTAGAGAGGAAAGAAATGTAGTGGTAGGAGAATTGATCTGGCCAGCTGGTTCACAAACCCCGGCTTTACTAGAGGGTGACTTTCAAAAACCTAAGTTATATTGCACAAACTTGAAAGGGAGAATTTCCCTAATAACACTTTCAATGCTCTGAATTATTTTCCCCCACCTGTGATATCAGAGCGACCTACGTGGGTTAAGTGGGATTGAACCAGGGGCTGCGAGGTCGGAGCCCAGAACCCCACCATCTATTTAATAGTAGTTAAACATTAAAGTAGCAGGCAAACTCAAAATTAACAAGATGAAATATGGACAGCCCAGATCGAGCCAGGGACTGTTAATGCTCGTATGAGAGAGCATTCCCTGAATCAAAATAAAGATCAACTATAGCAATACAACACAACATAAGGATGCCTGAGGAGAAAGATACGGAGCAATACTGCCTGGGTAAACTAACCCTCAAAAAGAAAGATGAGCATCTTCCTGTCTGTCTTTCTCTCCCAACCACCGAAGGAAACCCATAGCCTTGAGGGTAGTTATCCAGGAAGTAAGAAAATGCAATACTGTCCAGAGTGGTCCACCTCAGCTGCCCCATGTTGATCAAGCAATCGGTTAAACCACCGTGTGCAACTACATTTCCCCCTTCTAAAGTGATTGGGAGCCTCCCCGGCCAGCTCACTGAAGACCCCAACAGCTCATCAACAGGCAGACAAGAATAACATTAGAGCCATATTAACCTTTACTACCCCTGAGGCACCCCCCCAATAAGAAGGGCCATTGGGAGTGAGAAGTACAGCTGTATACATGACTACCCATCTTCCGCTAGGTTAGGATCAGGTGCATTAAGTAAACATATCAGGAAAACACAGCTCGGCCCAACCACCTATTCCAGCAGGGGATGTAAAAACCGCCCAAAAAACTCAAATGCCCAACTGGTAGATACGTAGGGGGAGTAGTGTCCGACCCAAGCTGAGTAACTCTAAGCAGACATGAAAGAGCAACAATGAAAAACACAAAGACCTATGACTCACTATAGACTAACCATCAGAGACAAATTGCTGCATACTCAAAGTTCATTGTACGCTGGGCATGAAGGGCGATGTTGATCTGGATCATGGCCTCATCAATGCTGGGGAAATGGAATTGCCCGGTCTAATTAAAGATGGGGAAGATCAGCGGTTAACCAGTCCGGAATTTCCAAAGGCTCTATTTCCAGGAAAGCATACAGATTCAGCAGTTGGTCTGGACGGTGCATCTGGAAGCTACGGTTATCCTTCTATCCTTTTAAGTGAAAGGGGTGACCCCAGCTGTAGGATGCGACCATTTCCCCAACAGTTGCAACAGAGGATGTAGTTGGCTGCATATGAAGCGGGTTAGGGTGGCTATGTCGGGTAGAGAGGTGATATTGGCACCATCGACTTTTTCTCCCAGTCCTTTTGCATCAACTGCTCTTTAAAGTGTTACTACACCCACAACAGTAAAATCAGTCTGTGTATATGCAGTAAAACATGCTTGTTATACTCACTGTGGAACCTAAGGGGTTAATCCTCTGCATTGTGTAAAAAGGCTGTTTGATACTGTCTTCTCTGCTCCTCCTCTTGTTCCAGTGTCTCCTGATGTTCTTCTGATAAGACAGACTGAACTAGCCATTCTGCACATGCTCAGTTTTTGTGTATTGCTAGAGAGGGTTTTTTTTTTTCCTTGGGAGAGTGCATGTGATCAGCACAGAGCCAGTCAGCACTGTCCAGACAGAAGTCAGGGGTTTTGCATCCTCCTAGCAGCAGAAAAAAACTCCTCCTACAAGCTTTAACCAGTGCTCTGCTGAACACTGATGGAAGTCACAAGACTCTGCTGATGAGAAAAGGTATTTAGCAGTTTATATTTACTAAAATAATTGCACTAGCATGTTCTGTATACTGTGGGAGGCCAGATATAATGAATGCAGGGTCCTGGGTTTAGTAACACTTTAAGTTATAGACTGGGGCAGTGGCCATTTTTTGTACTGTTGAATTGTTGGTCGAAGGGGTGCACTGGACACCTTAGCTGCCATTGTGCTATGTGCTGGCTGTCCAGTGCACTCCTGTACCTTTAAGGAGGGGTGGGGTCCATCTGCCTTTGGTCTATCTATTAAATACATATGTCTCTACTATGGGGGCTCTTAAAATTGGAGAGTTAGGAACTACAGAATACTGCAATGCCATGACGAGGCTCTGCAGCTTACGCATGTATGTGCAAATGTGTGCTAACTAAACCCCTGATTTTAACGTATACTGTCCGGTTAATTTTGTTTGTTTGCAGGCTGCTGGCTGGCAAGTTAGAGCTGGGAATTTTTCTTTTTTGTTTTTTTGACATGCGGCGCCCTTCCATGTGCTCCTTGCTGTGAAGGCCAGTTATAGACTGGAGCAGTGGCCATTTTGTGTATTAGTGGCACTTTAATCCTGAAAAAATGGACGCAACAAAGCACATCTCTGAGGTGATCCCCGTTTAAGTCTCAGGGTCCAGTCACCCTGTGGACTCTATTGATTTTGATCTCAGTTGCAGGGTCATGCTCAAAAAGTTGGTTAAGTAAGGCTGTAATTAGAGATGAGCGAATTATTCAAAAATTCGGTTCGGCTGATTCGCCGAATTCGCCGAATAAATTTGCTTCGAGCCGAATATATTCGCTGCGAATTTTAACTTATAAAAAGGGTGTTTCTAGGCTTCAGAGAGCCTTTATATTAGTGCAGAACACTGTACCTTTAATTTAAATGCCCTTGGAGTTTGCTGGGGAAGAGAAATAATACTGTCAGTCAGTATGACATGCAGATGAGTGCCGTCGATCTTAGAATCACCGCACACTTCACTCATTTGGGCAGTCACGGGGCCAAAACCAGAGTGTGGAGCCACAGTGTGGTGGTGGAGGCAGCAGCAATGGGAGGCCATACAGCACCCTATGACCAAATGGAACCCACCAGCAGTGTGAGGAGACCTGAAAGTGGCACATGGCAGAGTGTGGCGATGGAGACAGCAGCAATGGGAGGCCGTACAGGGACCCATGACACACTCTGGACCTGGCAGCAGCATGAGGAGGCGGTACAGGGGCCCATGACAGATTACGGGCCTGGCAGCAGCATGAGGAGTCGGTACGGGGGCCCATGGCAGATTACGGGCCTGGCAGCAGCATGAGGAGGCGGTACAGGGGCCCATGGCAGAGTGGCGGAGCGTAAGCAGCTAAAATTGAAGGCCATACAGAGGCCTATGTTAAAAAGTCCCCCCAGCAGAAGCGTGGGGAGGCGACTATCAAGAGTCCAATGGCAGAGTGGCAGAGCAGAAGCAGCTTCAATTGAAGGCCATACACAGGCCTAGGTTTAAAAGTCCCTCACAGTTAATTCCAATAACGAACTCTACTCCTCCGTGCAATCTACTTACGAGACCCTGGGCAGGTCTGGGTCCAATTTGTGGTAGAGACTGGTTTTGTTCAGCCATGCTTGAGCGAGTAATAACAGGTCTGTGCTGCCCTTTGGTGTCTGGCTTAATGCGCACAACACTGAACGTCCCAGCGTTTGTCAACGATTTGCCGTTAAGTGATGCAAACCCGCTGAACCACGTTCATGAGGAGCCGGTACAGGGGGCCATGAATCAGTATGGACCTGGCAGCAGCGTGAGCAGACGACAGAGGCACATGGCGCAGGGGCGGCGGTGTAGGCAGCATTATTCTGAAGCCATACGCAGGCCTAGGTTAACAAGCGGAAGCCGTCAGCAGCGTGAGCAGACGACAGAGACACATGGCGCAGGGTGGCGGTGGATGCAGCAGTATTCGGAAGCCAAACACAGGCCTCGGTTAAAAAGCGGAAGCCGTCAGCAGCGTGAGCAGACGACAGAGGCACATGGCGCAGGGTGGCGGTGGAGGCAGCAGCAATGGAAGGCCATACAGCACCCTATCACAAAATGGAACCCACCAACAGTGTAAGGAGACCTGAAAGTGGCGCATGGCAGAGTCTGGTGATGAAGTCAGCAGCAATGGGAGGCCGTACAGGGACCCATGACACACTCTGGACCTGGCAGCAGCAAGAGGAGGCGGTACAGGGGCCCATGGCAGAGTGGCGAAGCGTAAGCAGCTTAAATTGAAGGCCATACAGAGGCCTATGTTAAAAAGCCCCCCCCAGCAGCAGTGTGGGGAGACGACTATCAAGAGTCCAATGGCAGAGTGGCGGAGCAGAAGCAGCTTCAATTGAAGGCCATACACAGGCCTAGGTTAAAAAGTCCCCCCAGCAGCAGCGTGGGGAGACGACTATCAAGAGTCCAATGGCAGAGTGGCGGAGCGGAAGCAGCTTCAATTGAAGGCCATACACAGGCCTAGGTTAAAAAGTCCCCCCAGCAGCAGTGTGGGGAGATGACTATCAAGAGTCCAATGGCTGAGTGGCGATCCGGGAAGTCAGCGTTGTGATTGCAGATGCAATGCAGAAATTCTACGAAGTAATGCCGTGGGTGCGAAGAAGATCATATACCGTCGTACTTCCATCCATAAGACGGAACAACCTGCGAACCGGGAGCTTTATTGCCCTGACCCTGAGCAGCTTCTTCTGGGATACCCAAGAGGCCCATGGCAGAGTGGCGGAGCGTAAGCAGCTTCAATTAAAGGCCATACAGAGGCCTATGTTAAAAAAGTCCCCCCAGCAGCAGCGTGGGGAGATGACTATCAAGAGTCCAATGGCAGAGTGGCGGAGCGGAAGCAGCTTCAATTGAAGGCCATACACAGGCCTAGGTTAAAAAGTCCCCCCAGCAGCAGTGTGGGGAGACGACTATCAAGAGTCCAATGGCTGAGTGGGCGATCCGGAAGTCAGCGTTGTGATTGCAGATGCAATGCAGAAATTTTATGAGGTAATGCCGTGGGTGCAAAGAAGATCATATACCGTCGTACTTCCATCCATAAGACGGAACAACCTGCGAACCGGGAGCTTTATTGCCCTGACCCGCTGAGCAGCTTCTGGGATACCCAAGAGTTTGGCTTCTGTGGGGAATATGGTTGAAAACTGAAACTTAAAGGCATGTTGACGGAAGGGCACCAGTGTCAGTGCTCCCGGAGGGAATATAGCTTCAAAGCTGACACTTAAAGGTATATCGACGGTCAGAGACCACAGGAAGTGGAGCTTGCGTCTTAAATCGACTGAATGTGGCAGACGTGAAACGTCTACGGGCCGTATATGAAACGGGTTGTTCCTCTTTCTGGAATAAGTGTTGGAAATGGCCACTCTTTTTGGTGTGGCGTTTTTGTCTATTTAATTCCGATAACGGACTCTACTCCTCCGTGCAATCTAGTTACGAGACCCTGGGCAGGTCTGGGTCCAATTTGTGGTGCTTGTGGTGCCATGCTTGAGCGAGTAATAACAGGTCTGTGCTGCCCTTTGGTGTCTGGCTTAATGCGCACAACACTGAACGTCCCAGCATTTGTCAACGATTTGCCGTTAAGTGATGCAAACCCGCTGAACCACGTTCATGAGGAGCCGGTACAGGGGGCCATGAATCAGTATGGACCTGGCAGCAGTGTGAGGAGACCCGAAAGTGGCACATGGCGCAGGGTGGCGGTGGAGGCAGCAGTATTCGGAAGACATACACAGGACTAGTTTAAAAAGCGGAAGCCGTCAGCAGCGTGAGCAGACGACAGAGGCACATGGTGCAGGGTGGCGGTGGAGGCATCAGTATTCGGAAGCCATACACAGGCCTAGGTTAAAAAGCGGAAGCCGTCAGCAGCGTGAGCAGACGACAGAGGCACATGGCGCAGGGTGGCGGTGGAGGCAGCAGTATTCGGAAGCCATACACAGGCCTAGGTTTTAAAACTGGAACCCAGCAGCGTGAGCAGACGACAAAGACGCACATGGCAGAGGATGGATCTGGCAGCAGTATGAGAAGGCGGTACAGGGGCCCGTGGCACAGTGTGGTGATGGGGGCTACAGCAACTGGATGCCAGAAAGTGGCCGATAGGGCTATATACTGCATGGAATTATAAAGTTGTAAAGACAGCGGCCTATAAGGCTATACACACTATAACAATCATGACTTGATTGACCATTGGCCTACAAGGCTATACACAGCATGAATATCATGACTTATTCTGAGAGTGGTTTGGAAGGCTATATACAAAAAGTAATTCATGAGCTGTCCGGACAGCGGACAATAAGTACATATATACAAATCAATTCATCAGCTGTCCAGCCAGCGGCCTCAAAGGCGACACATATAGAAAGCAATTCATGAGCTGTTCAGACAGCGGCCCCTAAGGCGACAGATATACAAAGCAATTCCCGAGGTGTTCAGGGAGCGACCTGAACGGCTAGGTTATTAGGTCAGTTGTGTCAGGAACTGGTGGTTTGAAATCCAGACTAATCCACGCCTGATTCATTTTCACAAACGTGAGTCTCTCCACACTTTGGGTGGACAGTCGTGTCCTCCGCGGAGTTACAATACCTCCTGCCGCACTAAACACGCGCTCCGATGCCACGCTACTGGCCGGGCATGACAGCCTTTCAAGGGCAAATTCAGCTAGTTGGGGCCAAAGGTCAAGTTTCGTTGCCCAGTAGTCAAGGGGATAGTCTACCTCGGTTGGCAGGGTGCTGTCCAAGTAGGCCCAAGCCTGTTGTTTGAGGTCCTGCTCCAGGTCCACCTGATGCTGCTGCTGCTGTGGCTGGTTAGTAGTTTCCTCACTGCGCTGGTGAAGAAAGCTACTCATCATCGACTGCAGACTGAGGCAGCCGCTGCTGGTGGAGCTACCACTGCTCCTACCACCCCACCCCTCCCCTGCTGCCATGGCAGCGGAACGCGAGCGCACTGGGCCCACAGTGTCTGAGGATGGACGTTGGCGCAGAAAGGCAGAGACCAACTGACTACATAGGTGGTTTTTATAGTACTTTATTTTTGGCCCGTCCCTCTCAGCAGGTGTGAAAAAGGCCACCATTTTTGAACGGTAGCGAGGGTCCAACAAGGTGGACAGCCAAAAGTCATCCCTCTGTCTGATGGTTATTATTCGGCTGTCGCTACGCAAGCAACCGAGCATGTTATGGGCCATTTGTGCCAAGGAATGCGAGGGACTCCCTGCCTCCATCTCCACAGCATACTGCCACGGTGCGTCTGGGTCCTCTGTCTCCTCCTCCTCCTCTACCAGATGCTCCTGCTCTCCACTCCTGTCCGCTGAGTGGAAAAACCACCCATTTCACTCAATAATTCCTGAGCACCAATGTCCTCCTCTACCTCCTCCTCTTCTTCCTGTCCTGCCCCCACAGGGGTCATGTGGCGTTGAGATCTGTGCGCCCACGTCTACCGCACCCTGACCAGCCATTGTTAACAGCATTTGTTCCAGGACGTGCAACAGAGGAATGACGTTGTTCATCCCCATAGTCCTGCCGACTCACGAATAGCGTGGCCTCCTCAAAGGGCCTGAGCAAGCGGCAGGTGTCACGCATGAGCTGCCAATGGCTGACATCTAAGTTACACAGGGGAGTACCTTTATCCGCTTGTAACATCAGGAAATCGGTGATGGCCTTTCGCTGTTCGTAAAGGCGGTCTAACATATGTAGGGTTGAATTCCACCTTGTTGCAACGTTGCAGATCAGGCGATGCTGTGGAATTCCGTTCTGCAGCTCAAGGAGGGTGTGCTTTGCGGTGTAGGAATGGCTGAAATGCATGCAAAGTTTACGTGACATTTTAAGGATGTCTTGCAGTGGGATGGTGGATTTTAGGAACCGCTTGACAACCAGATTGAACACGTGAGCCATGCATGGCGCATGGCACAACCTTCCTTGACGCAGAGCAGACACCATGTTCTTTCCGTTGTCGGTCAACATGGTTCCGATTTTCAGTTTGCGCGGAGACAGCCATCTGTCGATTTCTCTGTTCATTACACTCAGAAGTTCCTCCCCTGTGTGACTACGTTCGCCAAGGCATACCAGGTGCAGCACAGCGTGACACCGTTGCGCCCTGCACATGTGATATGCCGGTCGGGTAATGGGACTTGGCACGGGGGGTGGCGGCTGAGGACACGGCGGAAGAAGAGGTGGTAGAGGCGGACATCTTTGCTGGACCAAGGACGTGCAAACGTGGAGGCAAAAGCGGTGTGACCTGTCCAAGTTGCTGGTGCGGCTGTGCCGGCACCACGTTCACCCAGTGGGCCGTAAATGACATGTACTGTCCCTGACCGTAGTTACAGCTCCACACGTCGGCGCTGCCGTGCACTTTGGCAGAGGACCGACATGCTCAAAGACTGGCCCACCATCTCTTCTACATGTGAATGCAGGGCTGGCACTGCCTTTTTGGCAAAGAAATGCCGGCTTGGCACTCTCCACCACGGCTCGGCACAAGCCATCATTTCTCGGAAAGGTGCTGAGTCCACCACTTGGAAAGGGAGGGACTGCAGCACCAGCAACTTGGACAGGAGGATGTTCAGCTTCTGCACCGTCGGGTGCGTGCTCGCAAACTGTTGTCTCTTGGAAACGGATTCCAAGAAAGACTGCTGACGGAATCCGTGAAGAGGAGTAGCAGGAGAAGGAGCATCTGAACGAGCGGAAGATGCCAACGAGCGACAACTCCCCTCAGCAGAGGTGTTGGAGCCTTGACTGGCTGATAGAGGGCGATTGACGTCGGGTGACGGAGCAAGTAACGGAGCGGGTGATGGAGCGGGGGCTGGGGCAGGCAGAACCGCCGTATCTTTATCACGGTTTTCCCAGGCCACCAAATGGTGACGCTGCATATGCTGACGCAACGCTGTAGTCCCCAACATTGGCCCCCTGGCCACGCTTGACTTTCTAGCCACATAGTCGACATACGGCTACGTTTACTTCCTCGGGCGGCTTGACGAAAAATTGCCACACCGCCGAGTAGGAAACTTTGCCCCCGCTACTCCTCACTGGCTGACTGCTACTTCCTCCGTGCACACCGGCACCACTACTGGCCGTGGTGGTAGGCTGCAGTGGAGCTGGTGCTCTACTCCGTGGCCGTTTGGCTCCACTGACACTGCTGCGACCCTGCTGCCTCCTGGGCAACCCACCGACTGTTTTGCTCGCTGGCAAGCTGGCACCCTCTTCTCCTGATGATGCGGAAGCAATAGCCTGATGACGACGAGGCTGCCAAGTGCGATCAGCCTCATCATCATCAATTAGGGTCTCTGCGTCACTACTAGCCCCCTCGGCTGCGTGTGGGTCAGGAGACAGACCTGTCTCTAGACCGGCTACCGAGCCACTCTCCTCGCCAGTACTTCTTCGCCTGGCTGCTGAAAAGGCGGATGTCTCCTCCCGTTCCTGACCGCCCTCTGTTAGCTCTTCCTCACTGTACAGTGGGGCTGAGCCCATAGCATGCGATACTTCGCTTGGTGAGGGAACACCAAAGGACAGGGGCAGGTCGAGGACACGTGATTTCAGTGGGCTTGCTCCCGGGCCATGCCAGCTAACGGTTGTGTCTGACGTACCCACCGACCGTTGGCTGTAGGTGTCAGAGGTGACCTGGGAAGAGGAAGACGACCGAGTCAACCAATCGATGACGGCAGGGTTGTCGGTGGAGACACGACCGCTGGATGACACCGGGAGCACTGGCCTCTGGCTGCGACTAGTGCTGCCTCGACCCCTTCCTCTGCTGCCACGTCTGCTCGCTCCTGAAACATTGCCTCCTCTGCCACTCCTCTGCGTGTTGTCTGACATACTCTTTAATTCAATAAGACCCCAAAAATAAAACCGGATTTAACTCTTTAAACGTACAATAGTGGTTGTGAAGCAGAAAGTCAGTTTATTTAGCACAATCGGTCAATTGCAGCTTGCCGTTGGCTGTAAACTGTACGTTTATGTCACTGGAATGCACTAATCACCCAAAAAATATTACCGCCACCCGGCGTGTATATGGATTTAACTCTTTGAACGTACAATAGTGGTTGTGAAGCAGAAAGTCAGTTTATTTAGCACAATCGGTCAATTGCAGCTTGCCGTTGGCTGGAAACTGTACGTTTATGTCACTGGAATACACTAATCACCCAAAAAATATTACCGCCACCCGGCGTGTAAATGGATCTAACTCTTTGAACGTACAATAGTGGTGTTGTGAAGCAGAAAGTCAGTTTATTGTACACAATCGGTCAATTGCAGCTTGCCGTTGGCTGGAAACTGTATGTTTGTGTCACTGGAATGCACTAATCACCCAAAAAATATTACCGCCAGCCGGCGTGTAAATGGATTTAACTCTTTGAACGTACAATAGTGGTTGTGAAGCAGAAAGTCAGTTTATTTTGCACAATCGGCAAACTGCAGCACCAAATGTGCACGACAGCCATCAAAAAAAAAAAGGGTGTATGTCACTTTAAATTTTCGATTCTTTGATAGCTGTTGCCCTAAGTAACGATTCTGTGTCCCTGAGTAACGATTCTGTGTCCCTGAGTAACGATTCTGTGTCCCTGAGTAACGATTCTGTGGCCCTAAAGTCTCTGTGGCCCTAACTCTGTCCCTTAATACACACAGGTCTGTCTCTCTTGAATGACCGGAGGCTAATGGAGAATTCTAAGATGGCCGCGATTTATTTAGCTCCACCATTACACAGTG